TGGGAGAGATAGTGGCCATGCCCTTACTCCTGAGCGAGTGGAGCTCGCGGTCCGAAGCCCCCCAAATTTCAAACCCAAAGGTGACGCCCGCCAGCGGGCCCGACGCAAAAATCCTGACAGCGGACCTGCCCAAGTTGCTTTTGTGCTTGTCGAGGCGCCTGCATTGACGGAAAAACCTGGCCTGCCGTGCCTTGAGTTTGGCTGATTTACCCTTTTTTTGAGCCTGGGGTAGTGGTGCGTAATGAGCGGCCTGCCGTGTAGTCAGTACCCAAATTAACCGCCGAGGCCGAGGGCTTGCCGCGCAACTCTCCCAGTCGCTCCTCGAGCTGAATAGCTATTGGCTTGTGGCTGCACACACAGCCCACTTTGTCAAGCGCCAGCCTGCAACCGAGCTCTTGGGTGACAGCCTTGTGTAAGCTGACAGAGGAAGAAACTAGTGCCTCCACGACTTCGGGGACCGTGCCCGTGTGCGAGAGGCACGTGTCATCAATGTAGGCGTCGAAATCAGTGCCACTAGCCAGAACATTGCACAGCTTATCGAAGGCCTTAAGAGCGAAAGCTCGGATGAACGAAGTGGCCATCGAGCACCCAGCTACGACCCCACAACTGACCCAGTACGGCCCCATCGATGATGCCCCCAAGGCTGAGAAACCTGCACGAGCGATAGGCCGCCATGGCGACCCTGGTGATAACTACAGGAAAGCCAAGGCATTGACACTGATTCTCGAGGAAATCGAGGGAGACGCTCTCGTAGTACTTCTGAAGGTCATAAAAGACTGACCCTGAAGTGAGGCCCTTGGTAACTCCCGCTTCGGCTTTGAAGCTCTGCCTCCAGACAACATCCGCGGCACCCCTATTGGCTCCAGCAGCCCAATAGGGCCTCGCAAACTTCTTTTCCCAATCGAGAGCGACAGGCCTCCTGGCGCGGCCCCGAAGCCGATGCCACGAAACGAAAACCCCGATGGGCCTGAAGCCCCCGACAGGTTTGGGCAAGAGGGCCACGAGCACAACTATTAACTGATTAGGAAGCCTCCCCGTGGCTTCGATGACGCACAGGGGCCCCGAGAGGGCAATGAGGGCGGCGTCGCACAAAACCGAATAGTGACGAAGGTGGAAACCGTCAACCGAAACCGCACTCTGTTTACGGTAAGTCTTGCAGACCTGGCGGGTCTCCTCAGGGGAGAGGCGGGGCAGGGGGGTGACCAAACGAACAGGGCCCACAGGAGGCCCGCTCCCCTCCCCCCACCACGCCTGAAAGCGCTTCCCTTCGGCAGACAGAAGGGCCCTGGGGTCCGCCGCAATTTGCCCGTTCGCCGCAATGGTGACCGAGGGAACCCAAGGGGTGGGGTCTCTAAGAACGTGATGGGCCCGCCTGCCCCCTTTGCCCAAACCTTCTTGGGGCCATTCTCGCCAGCGGCGCTTGTTAGCCTTAGCAAAGTCCTTAGCGGCCCCCTCTAGGCGCGGCGCGAGAGATGCGAGCAGCTGATCAACATCAGCCACACAATCCGAGAAAGCGGGCGGGGACCGCGCGTCCAGATCCGCCTTGTCCTGGCACTGATTATCGAGCGCGACGGGCAAAACGGGGGGAGGAGGATGCGCTCCAGGCGGAGCCGAGCAAACAGACGAGTGCTTGCGACCAGCCAGTCGATCAGCACAAGAGGCGGCTAAGCTGGTGGCACGTTGAAATAGTCCAGCATGACAGGCGCGAGCCGTGCCAGCGCACGGCGGCGTAGAGCACAAGGCCTTGATGCACCGCAGTGGGACGTTGCGTGCTAATACTTCAGATCTCAAGGCCTTGAGCTGGGTCTCCAACCACTTCAGACCGCGGGAAACGGGGTCCTTGGGAGGAGCGCACGCCTGGCAGATGGGCTTCCAAAAAGTCTCAATAGTTTTGCCGCGGGACCCATAGACAGGGAGATCGGCCCCCAGGACCCTCGCGAGATCAAGTTCGGCTCTATTCGCCCAGAGACCGTACCCTTCAGAGAGCAGGGCAGCAGCCCCGTCACCGTCCCCAAGGGACACTCTGTCCACAGCAGTATTGACCAGGTCAAGCACCAGATCCCAATCAGCGCTGCACTCCTGCGGCCTGGGGCCGAACGGGGGGTCCACAGGCAAGGGCGGCGGCTTGCGAAAGGCGAGAGCCTTCAATTGAAGCAGACGGGGGTGAAAAATAAGCGACACGGGGCGGTGGGGGTTGAGCGTCGTGTCGAGTCGGACTTTGGCCCCGTTGAGGCCCTTGGCCAGGGGGGGCGAGACCACGAAGTAGTCAAACTTGGACGGGTCACCCAAGGAAGGATAATGGGCATTGTCGGGGGTGGTGATGAGGAGACCCCCCACAGCTTTAGCAAATCCCATGCCTTCTAACAAGTCTGGCCCGAAGTTAAAGCCCCCACCTATGATGTATTCCTCCGACTGACTGCTCACGAACTCCCCCAGGTCGCTGAGGATGCCCCCGTTGGAGGCGCCGAGCCCCACGGGGTGGTGAAGATAAAGAGAGACCAGCAGTAACGCTGGGCTGTCAGGAGCGTGGCACTTGCAGGCTAGGCAGCGCCCCCGAGCAATGGCTGGGGAAGGCACAGAGTGGAGCCCACGCCAAGACCTGGCAAAAATAGCCACACCAGCACTGTCTCCACCTTGCGGGCCTGGAACTGCAGCAAGCCAGATGGACTTCCAGCCCGCGCGAATCGCAGAGGCGGAGGCACGGTCTATCGACTCAGGGTCCCTGAGGCGGTGTTCTTGGCAAACGATGATGTGAGCCGAACAGTCGGAATCCTCCGAGAAATCTTCCATCGTGCCCCACTTGTTGCAATTTACAGACCAAACCTCCAAGGCCACACTGACAACGCCCCTTTGGTCCTCACCTGGGTCCTGGGCCCTGGCCAGATTGGGGGGAGAGATGCAGCTGGTCTTGCCGACGGGCCAAAGTGAAATGGGCTGAGCTACGAACGGCCTGGCAGCCCGAAATGAGCAGAACTCCCGTTTCAGCCTCCTGCTGGTGGCAGGCGTGCAAAAGCTCCTGGGAACATCGCTAGGAACACTCATCCAAGCGTGAATCTCCAAGAGAAAGCTGTCGAACTCAGCGAAACTGCGATGGCAGAAAATCTCGCACCTCTGTGGAATTATTTTCCCCCTCCCTTCCCAGGGAGGGGGAGAGGATTGGAAAGCTCGTCTGCCACCAAGGTGCGAATGTCAGGCTCAGGAGGCTCAGGCCGTGACCCCGAAGAGGACGCACACGACGGCCCTGCCCCTGTAGACTGACCAGACCCTTCACCTGCAGCAGCTGCCTCGCCTCCCAGCGTAGCGGCGTCTGAGGCGTTGCCAGCACCAGTCTTGCGCTTCTTGCCAAGCCTTTCGAGGTGCTTGGTGTGCTGCTCCTTGGCCTCCTTGATTTTTGACAACGCGTCTTGGAACAATGACTTGGCTGCCTCTCGCACTTTCTCGGACAGCTCATCCTTGCGCTGCTGGATCTCCTTACGGTCTTGCTCCTCAAGGTCGTAGGCGTCATCAGCAACTTCGAGCACGTCAGTCGAGATGATCTGGTCAATGGAGACGGTGCCGTCCACCAGCTGCTCGAGAGTGACCTGGGCCACCGCTGCGGGTGCAGGTTCTGATGGCACCTGCTGCTGCAGCTCCAAAACGACTTTTTTGTATGCGGCGTCGGCCTCGCCCAACTCAGAATGAAACTCAGCCACTTTCTTGCGCTGCTCCTCCAGCTCGGCCCTCCAACGATTGAGCTTCGAGAACTCGACCTGAAGTGCCCGCTCCTTGCGACGGACAGCAGCGTGGGCGGACTGAACCTGCTGCTGCAGAGACGGCGCAGGGGCACGCTCCGACTTGTCGAGGGAGACGGCGATGGCACGGTACTTGGCTGCCAGCTGCTCTTCTCCAGCTTTCGAATGCAGATCGGCGAGCTGCTTGGCTTCGATGGCGGACAAGCGGGGCACAGGTCCAGGCGGCAGAGCTCCATGTGGAACGTCGGGAAGAGCCGCCGCACGAGCACCTTTGCCTGCAGCTGCAAGCTCAGAGCCCTTGCCCTTGCCCTTCTTGCCATGGCCCTTGCGCCCTCCGTTGCCCTTGCCGTCCATGCGAACAAGTGCCTCAACCTCCTCTTCAGCAGACCCGAAACCTCGCGCCCATGCACCAGAGGCAGGCTGGACAGGGGCGCCTTGAACCTTCGGCAGGTCGGAATGGCAATGCTTGCACCACTTGAAGTGCGGCAGGTTGCGACGGCAGCCGCAGGACGGACATGCACTCTTGGACTGTGGAGTGTGGTGCGCAGCGCCGCCACCTCCCCCCTGCCGAACCCACGGGTGATATACCCAAGAGTCAGCACCGAGAGAAGAAGCGTTGCGCGCCATCGCACACGAGTACAGAGAGTGCTAGAAACGAACGTGATGGTTGAAAAGGTGGGGACAAGCCCCAGTAAGAGTATCAGAAGAACACTGAAGATCGAGATGGGGCCGCAAATCCCCTTGCCACAAAAACTCTAAGTCCTCTGAGCCACCGCTACGGACTTGAGCCAAAATGGCTACGGCCCCCTCGCTCCTCCTCCTCATCGTCCTCCTCCTCCTCCTCCTCCTCCTCCTCCTCGCCCATCGCATCATCTTGAGGTGCAGCATGGTGCGCAACCCAGATGGGGTCCGCTTAAGAGAGGCCACCCAAATGGGGTCCAAGCAGATACGGTACCAAGACCGCGCCTCATCCTCCATGCCTCCGCGACGATGGGATGGAGAACACCGGGGTACATTCTGAACAGAATTTCGAGGCGAATCCAGCTGTGGCGACGAGGGCCTTCCAGGGGGCTTCCCATGGGCGCAAACGAGGCATGGTAGCGGAATTGGTACCGTCTCCTCCTCTGACTATCGCCGATGCATCGGCGACACGGTGCGACCCACCGACCCTGTCTGCTTCGACCCAATCTGGGCGACCGAGGCCCCTGCACCGCCCCCCGCGCCGGCCTCTGGCCGCCCGGCTACTGCGGGCCCCCTCCCGAGCCGCTCCCGGTGGCGCATCTTCGCGGTCAACTCCGCGAAGAAGGCGCCGCACGCCTCCGCGAACCTGCCCGACTTTGAGCGGAACAGGGAGCGGCATTCGGAGGAGGGCCAGTCGAGACAACGCCAGCCCTACAAGGTGTGTGTGTGTGTGTTTGTTCGCCCTTGTTGGGTCTGCTGGATGCTTCCCGTCGCCGCGGCTGGAATCCGCCTCGACAACTAAATCAGGATGGGCCCAGGGAGGGCTCCCGGGACCGCCTTTGAGCGGATGCGGGCTGGGCGGGAGAAGCGCAGTTGCCTCAACTGCCCCTCCTCCGAGGCAGAAGCACGACCGAGAAGCACGACCGAGAGGTGGGCCAGCGTCCAGCACATCGAACTGCGGCTGGCTCCTGTCGTGGGAGCTCCTGCGTTGTCGCCGCGCTAACACGACACGAACCTACCACGGCTCCTCGTAGCCATCAGCTCAGAAGCGAGGTTCTTTTGCACCTGCACGTCGTGAGGAAGCCTGGAAGGACACTCCCCACGACCGTCCAGGACAATTTTCTTGCTATCCTGGGAGAAACACATAGGTATCGGAAAATACCGCTCGCTGGCTGTGAAATGCTGTGCGTCATCAGTGCTGGAAGGTCACAGCGCGTGCACCCTCGATCGCCGCCGTCGCCATCGTCGTGTCGTCGTCGTCGTCGTTGCCCTCGCCGTCGTCGCCGTCCACATAAACATACGCTTTCGGATGTCCACGCGGACCTCTCGGGTCGGCGCTTGGGCCCCCTGCCATTCCCAGCGGAACGCGCCAGGGGCGGCGCAGGAAACAGAGCCAGGGGGGAGGCCAAGCGCAGATCCAAGAGATCCGCACGGGCCCCCGAACATGTCCAAAACAATGCTTTGCCTTGGGGGTTCCTAGCTAGTTGTCTCCTCAAGGCACTTGTTGGGTCTGACGCAAAGTGTCCACGCTGCCGCCCGTTGCCGCCTCGTGCGCTGGGTGGGTCCGGCAAGGTTCCGCCACGCTGCCGCACGTTACCGCCTCGTTGCCGCCTCGTGCGCTCGGCGGGTCTGTCGAGGTTTGGCCACGTTGCCCCCCCGTTGCCGCCCCGTTGCCGCCTCGTGCGCTGGGTGGGCTTGGCGAGGTTTGGCCACGGTGCCGCCCGACGCTGCCTCGTTACCGCATCGTTGCCGCCTCGTGCGCTTCGGGAGTCCGACGATTTTCGCCACGGTGGCGGCCGTTGCTGCCTCATTGCCGCCTCGTGCGCTGGGTGGGTCTAGCGAAGTTTCGCCACGGGGCCGCCCGTTGCCGCTTCGTTGCCGCATCCGGCTTGCACCACGTATACTGCACCATAGTGGCTTGCATCACATAGTTTGCACTACATAGCTTACGCATCCGCACCGCAACACCTGACTTACTCAGATCTACGATGGCTGACGTGTTTATTTGTGCAACTGGTCTGTTCTTTGATGGGCTGCCCACCCAGCACGAGCGAGAGGTGGGCTGGCGTTTAGCTCATCGAACTACGGCTAGCTCGTGACTTGTCGTGGCGACTCCTGGCATTCTAGGGCGAGAAAGATGTCATGTGGAGATTGGCGCAGGATAAGCTCCAAGATTTCAAGATCATCTCGTGGTCCTCGTTTCTGGAGACTGTGCAAAACAAAAGGAAACCCTGAAACCCAGAAAAGCTGCGAACGTATCAATCTCATGATGTCTTGCTCCTCTGATATTAAAATCTGCGTCGTCGTCGTCGCCGTCGCTTGCGTCCCCGCCGACGCCGTCACCGCCGTCACCCTAGGGCTCCGAGCCTCCTTCGCTGCACGCACCGGACGACGCAGCCAACCGCCGCGGCCGAGACCTCCTCGGCGCAGGGCTCGTCCAGCAGGAGCTGCCGCGTCTGCAGGGGGCGCCACAGAGAGGCCATCCAGAACGGCCACTCCGGGCAAGACTCCTGAGCCCAGGATCGGCGTGCGTGCCCCCCTGGCCAAGCCAGGAGGGCGTACACGGCGATCCTAGACCCCAAGGTGAGCCTGGCCAAAATCGGTGGGTGGTCAGCTGACGTCCCCCGGCACCGGGGAGGAGGCAAATGAGGAGGACGCGGAATTGGAGGAAACGGCACCTCAACTATGCTACGCCCGCCCCAACTTCCCCTCTAGCCTGCAGGCCCCACGCCGTGCAATAAACTTGTGAGCGCCAAAGAAGCCTCCGAGCGCCACCACGTGCCTGTGAGCACCGCACAGTGTCTGCGAGCAGAACGAGTAAACGTATGCACCAGCCAATGGCAGGCTCTGCAAGTACGGCACCAACGTGCGAGCGCCACATCATGCCTGCGAACACCACAACGTGCCTGCGAGCCCCACGGTGCGCGAGCGAACAAAAGCAACATACGGTTGCACAACACGCAGTATTCAGGACCCTGTCGTTGCCGAAAAAGAGTGCGAGGACGACAGAATGCCTGCGAGCACCACCACCGAAGACGAGCCACGCCATGTGCATAATTACCTAGACATCCGACGATGAGATGTTTCAATGCGCGGCCCCGAAGGTCCCGCCCCCTTCCCCGGGGTAGTCGTTCGTCGGGATCCATGCATGATCGTCCTGGGGCTTGATAACGGGCCCCAGAGGAAAACGTCGAGACAGACCTGCAATAGGCAAACTCATGCTACGGACCGTGGCCAGGGCAAAACATCGGCAATGCAGTTGCTCTGCATGCGTATGGATATCCCCCCTGCGGCTCGAACATACAACGATATCCCCGACACGCAGCGTCCAGAGGGGATACGAAGCAAGCAAGAGGAGGAGGAGGACGAGGCAATACCCAACGAAACTCGCGCGTGCGTAAGCCGACCTGTGTGGACGGCGCCCGCACAGACTCCCTCGCGAGAACGAGCGAAGGAGAGGGGAGAAGGAGGAGGAGCAGGAGAAAGCAAGCGGAGAACAAGGAACAGAACAGAGAGACGTGATATGCTACCGGCCTCGGAAAGCCAAACACCATGGATGACCAACACTTTACGGCATGGTCTATTTGCCCGACCTTGCCAAGGCCTCCAACGAGCTAGATTACCGACTCCGTGCTCTCCCTTTGGCCTTCGACGTATACCTCGGTCCTCGCCTCCTCACTCTCTAAAAATTGTGCACCCTGGTTTCCTGCCAGGAGGCGGCATCCTGGCGGGTTGGGCAAGAAATGTCCCAAGCGAGTCTTGTTGTACGAGCCGCTCAGCCAGACTGCGGGGCAGAGCCGAGGGTTGCATTTGCGTGAGTGGATTGGCGATTTAGCTGCTCGCATCGCAAGGTCAGAGCACTTGATCGGTTGTGGTCCTCCCATTGTTCTCAAGACGCTTCTTGAAGGTCTGAGGCGTAGGCGCTGAATGCTCTAGGTCAAGAAGTGCGTCCTCATGGGTTCCTCGGCCAGTGTGCGCTCCAGATTAAACGTGTGGGCGTCCCAGGCTGAAGGCGATGCTGCTGAGCTCACTGCGGCCGCGAGCGCCAGCGATCTAGGACGCCGTTCTACTGTGAGCTCGGTTAGGTCAGTGCAAGTGCAGCGCCATCGTCTTCCAAAAGGTAGAAGAGCCAAGACCGCAGGCCTTGTCAGGACTCGCCCCAAGGCTACCATGCTGTCTTTCATTGCATGGAATAGCTTTCCCCAGGCGGCTTTGCCCTCCGAGGTCCATGGCCTAGTCCCTGGCACACTGCGACAGTTGCGTCGCCAGGCCCGTCTGGGCAGTCAGTGTTCCCAGCGAAGTTGTTGCGCCACCACGGCGAACAGAGTCTCAAATGGTGCTGGGAGGGACCGTGGACCTGGTATATTCGGAAGCTTGTTGAAGCTTGGTTTGCCAGAGCTTTCTCGTCCCAGAGCCTTGCCGACAGGATTCGGGGGCGCTGGAAGGAGTCCCTTGCCCGTGTGTCTCGAGGCTGGAGCCAAGCCCGATGGCCCCTCGTGGCCAATCGGGCCTTCCTCATCTCCATAGGTTGGGAATGCCCGACGCATGGCAATTTGTGTGAGCCTGCCGGCTTCGATTGAAAGTTGATTGACCAAGAAGCTGCGCCACCCACCAGTCTGCTGGACGCTCTAGAGGCCACTATCGAGTCTCGAGCTTGGCTCCAGGCCTCTAAGTACCCCGAAAGAGGTGGGTAAGAGGGTCATGTCCAGTTTTAGCATGTTTCGGCAGTGGTGGAGCGCCTGGAATTCTCGGAGCAGCCAGCCTTAGCCAGCATTGTCCGCCTTGCAGCTTGCAGAGAGTGGACCGAATTCAGACAAATTCAGGCAGGCTATCGAACGAACGATGTGCACCAGCAATATAAGAGCCCCCCAGAGACTGGCGTGCACCGCTGCTAGAAACGACCTTGCCATTTCGCCAGTGGGCGGTGTCTGGGGTGTGAAGCCCCGCGCCCCCAAGTAGTCGAAACCAATCACGTGGCGCACCAGGCCCTGGAGGAGGTTGAGCCAGCTCCCATATTCTGGCTGCGTGGTCTTATTCCCCTCTCTTGGCTTGAACGTCCTCCCCCTCCTGAGTCCCGTGAGCACAAATGGCTTCGCGTTGAGAAAAGGCCCTTGACAAGAGGACTCTAATGCTGCGGATGGCTTGGGAGGTAACAACTACAAACGGTCATTCTTGCGCCGTGTCGCCTGGAATTCTATCCGTCTTGTTTCCGCCACGAAGATCGCTTGGGACTCTGGGTGTAAGGGGCTGGTGGGCAGCCCTAAGCAGACGGTTCCACGTTCTGAATTGTTAGCTTAGGTCAAAGTGCTAAGGCCTAGCCGCCAGGATGCTAAACTCACCATACCGTCGGACCATTTGAGCCATGTGCCGGGTCATGGGCAGGGTAGACACCACTGTGAGGCTCGATAATGCCGACTTTTGGTATAATATTGGTCCTTTGCTGACGCCAGGTCCACCCCGCTCGTCCCCATTCATGTGCCCTCTCACCTAGCCGAGGACGAGACTAAGTTAGCCAGGATCGGTGAGTCCGTTGAGGCAGGTGCAACCTATGCCAACACGGTGGTCGACGGCTTGGCTGAGGAGCGTTGCTCCCACGCCCAGGTTCGCGAGGCGGGCGCAGAACGAACGCGCCATGCCTTTCTCAAGCATGCCGAGTCGATGTTGCTACTCATTATTGTTGTGCAGTGGCACTGCCACCCAGCCCGATACTCTGGGCAATATTGGCAAGGCCACATTCTGCACCAGTCTCATGCTCTTTAGCAGAAGCGAGCTTTCGGTTATTGTGATGAGCGCGGCAGATATGCAGAGGGCTCCTGGCTCAGGAGTGCGAATCGGCCGCACACGACCGCCTCTCACTCACGAAAGCCCAGTACACTGCCCGAATGAGAATTCGGAAGCGTTTGCCACCTCGAGTCGCAGTCAGGGGATGCAGCCCGTTGCCTCAGCTTGAGCCAGATTTGAGTTTCAGAGCCTTGCTGGACTCCCCGCCGTTTGTGTACCCCGTTTCTGTCTGTAAATCCTTGACTGGCCTCGGAGAGTTGCTGGCAGCAGCGCCTAGCAACATCCTCCTCCTCCTCCTCCTCCTCCTCCTCCACCTCCTCCTCCTCTCCCCCCCTCCTCCTCCTCCTCCTCCTCCTCCTCCTCCTCCTCCTCCTCCTCCTCCTCCTCCTCCTCCTTGTCTCTCCCCCTATCCCATTCCTTACACATGACTCCTCCCTGTTGCACGTTCAGACGTGTCCGTAGGCCAGGTCGAGTGTTCCGCCTGAGACTTGTTTACGATGAGCCCTCCAGATGGAGGGCTAGTGGTTTTCAAAATGTGGTTCTCGACGTCGAGTCCACGTCGAACCCGCGGCGGATACAAGAAAGGTTCGCCATTCATTGGATAAGCGAGGTCCCCCGCAGATGCAACGCAGTTTTTACCTAACAGCTTTTGCTGATAGGTTTCTAGTGGACTCAAAAGAGAACAGCAGATGACTCCACCTGGGGGTCGGGGCGGCATCCGGGGAGCTGTGTCCGAACTCGTGTCCGAATGCGCTTTTCGCAAACAGTCACACACTTCGTGCTCTTCGACCTCCCAGAACTCCATTCCCTGGCCACATTCTGAATGCCTGGAGCCAACTGTAGGCCACTTCGTGCTCTTCCACTTCCCAGAACTCCATTCCCGGGCCACATTTTGAATGCCCGGAGCCAACTATAGGCCACTTCGTGCTCTTCGACCTCCCAGAACTCCATTCCCGGGCCACATTCTGAATGCCCGGAGCCAACTGTAGGCCACTTCGTGCTCTGAGCTTTCCCAGAACTCCATTCCCGGGCCACATTCTGAATGCCCGGAGCCAACTGTAGGCCATTTCGTAATCTTCGTGTTCCCAGAACACCATTCCTGGGCATGATTTTGAATGCACGGAGCCAACTGTAGGCCACTTCGTGTTCTTCGTGTTCCCAGAACACCATTCCCGGGCCACATTTGGAATGCTGAGGCAGGCTGATGCTGAGGCTGGGGCAGGCTGAGGCTGAGGCCGACGCTGAAGGCAGACTAAAACTGAGGCTGAGGCTGAGGCAGGCTGAGGCTGAGGCTGAGGCAGGCTGAGGCTGAGGCAGGCTGAGGCTGAGGCTGAGGCTGATGCAGGCTGAGGCTGAGGCAGACTGAGGCTGAAGCTGAGGCAGGCTGAGGCTGAGGCTGAGGCTGAGGCTGAGGCTGAGGCTGAGGCAGGCTGATGCTGAGGCATGCTAGTTCCCAGAACTCCATTCCCGGGACACATTTTGAATGCTGAGGCAGGTTGATGCTGAGGCTGAGGCAGGCTGAGGCTGAGGCAGGCTGAGGCTGAGGCCGAGGCTGAAGGCAGACTGAGGCCGAGGCTGAAGCAGGCTGAGGCTGAGGCTGAGGCTGAGGCTGGCTGGCTGCAGGCTGATGCTGAGGCAGGCTGAGGCTGAGGCTGAGGTGAGCAGGCTGAGGCTGAGGCAGGCTGAGGCTGAGGCAGGCTGAGGCTGAGGCTGAGGCTGAGGCTGAAGCTGAGGCTGAGGCTGAGGCTGAGGCAGGCTGAGGCTGAGGCTGAGGCAGGCTGATGCTGAGGCAGGCTGAGGCTGAGGCTGAGGCTGAGGCTGAGGCAGGCTGAGGCAGGCCGAGGCTGAAGGCAGACTGAGGCTGAGGCTGAAGCAGGCTGAGGCTGAGGCAGAGGCAGGCTGAGGCTGAGGCTGACGCAGGCTGATGCTGAGGCAGGCAGGCTGAGGCTGAGGCTGAGGCTGATGCAGGCTGAGGCTGAGGCAGGCTGAGGCCGAGGCCGACGGCAGACGGCAGACTGAGGCTGAGGCTGAGGCAGGCTGAGGCTGAGGCTGAGGCTGATGCAGGCTGAGGCTGAGGCAGCCTGAGGCTGAGGCCGAGGCCGACGGCAGGCTGAGGCTGAGGCTGAAGCAGGCTGAGGCTGAGGCCGAGGCAGGCTGAGGCTGAGGCTGAGGCAGGCTGAGGCTGAGGCAGGCTGAGGCAGAGGCTGAGGCTCATGCAGGCTGAGGCCGAGGCCGACGGCAGGCTGAGGCTGAGGCTGAAGCAGGCTGAGGCTGAGGCCGAGGCAGGCTGAGGCTGAGGCAGGCTGAGGCTGAGGCTGAGGCAGGCTGAGGCTGATGCAGGCTGAGGCTGAGGCAGGCTGAGGCTGAGGCAGACTGAGGCTGAGGCAGGCTGAGGCTGAGGCTGTGACTGCGACTGTCATCGCGAATGCGACTACGACTGCGAGAACAACAGAATTCTACAACTGGCTTCTCATCTGAATCTTAACTGGAATGCTTCCAGATATGCTCCTGCACATCGCTGTTAGGTTGCTTGGCCGGGATAATCCTTCCTAAGGCCATCGTAACATGGAGGAATCACCCTCTCTTCGCGCATACCCACAGGATACTCTGGGCGGCGAGAGCCCGAGTGGATGGCGACCAGGAGGAACAGGGGCACTCACGGGTGGAGCGAAGAGAGGGAGGGAGGATAAACCACAGATGAATTCAAGACGCTACCAACCACGCCTGTGCCAAGGGTGCCAAAATGTCATCCTGAAGCCCACTACCCAAAACATCAAGAAGAGAACAGAAAGAGAGAGAGAGAGAGGGACGAGGCGAACCGGAACCGAAATAAACACCCACCCCGAATGTTCCGCGGACACCACGGGCCGGCTCGACACGAAGGAGGTGGGTCCTGGAAGAAAGTGGTCCTGGATTTTCCTTCACCGTTCTCGGGCCACTCGGGCCCTCCACGGGCCCCGGGACCGTCAGAAAAAGGCCGGAGGATGAAGAGTTGCTCTGGCCCCCCCCCCTTTTGCAGTTCGCAGGGCCGCCCTCACGCTGTGAACGTTCGCGTAACGCGGTCTGTCAAGAACCATGTGAATGAATGTGTTCGTGCGTCTTTGCTTCGTTCCTGACATTCAGACGGACCCCTTCAATAACACCACCTTGGAAACTTGCCGCAAGGACCACCTTAAGAATACAAGCCCGTTTACGCCGGTTGTTGCGCTGCTGAACGAACTGGAACGAGAAGGCAGGACTGGCCCAAGGCTAATGGGGAACCCTCGACCTTGAATCTTCGACACATCGGCCATGCATCGCCGATAAATCGGTGATGCTGGGGCGCCTGGTGGCAAAACTGCACGTTCCTGGGCGAGGCCACGTGGCCCCCGGGCACGAGGCAAAAGACGCGCGTGTGTTCCTTCATGGCGGCCTGGCGCGTGCTGGCCCGGCAGCGCGGGCGGCGGGGCGCGCCCCGAAGGACGACCATCGGCCCAGGGGCTCCACGGCCTGCCCGCCGCCTCGCCGCAGGGCCTCCGGGGAGGGGGGGCGGGACGGGGCCAGGAGGGGGAGGCGAGCAGATGCAGGATGGGAATCTGGGAGAAGAAGGGGATTGGGAGCGGGAGGGGCAGGTACGACGATGAGGGAGGGGAATGTGATGGAGACGAAGGTTAAACAAGGGAATGGTATCATGTACGAAGACAGGAGGAGAGACCCGGAGAGAGACACAGACAACACCAAGAGGGAGAGAGAGAAAGATAAAGAGAAAACATATACACATACATACATACACATACATATACATATATACACATTTATATACGCATGCGAAAAGCATGCCAATATGCGGACAGCCTCCCCCTCCACGACCATGCAGAACTTGCCAGTAGCCTCGCCGCGATTCGCGATGACGGCGTTAGGCTGGCCGCGTTTTCTTATTGTCTGCGAAGAACAGGGGAGCTGAAAGCATGCATGACCAATGCCAGAGTGATAACCAGATGTCCCCCCCTCCTGGGACCCTCCTCCCAGGTGGATGGCGGGCCAGGGCGGACGAAAGGGGGAGGAGATAGGGGATACCAAAGGGGATGTCCGCGAATAAACTCACGTGCCTGGTTTCATCGGCGCCCCCGTGCTCTGGAGGCGTCCATGCATCGAAGAAAAAGCCCGGCGGCGGCGCCGAAGCGGCACGCAGCAGATTTACAACCCCTCCTTCCCAACCCCCCCCTTTTGTCCGAACCCGGTGCGAGAAGAAGAGGACGGTGGAAGAGCCCAACCCCACACTCTGGCCCCCCCCCTCACAAGGTGGTGGGAAAAGGAAAAGGGGGATGGTGAGGCTGGTCTCGAGAGAGGGGTAAGGATGACCTGGAGGAGGAGAAGAAAAAGAAAACGAGGAAGAGGACAAGGAGGTGTCCAATTGGGGGGGGGGGGGAGGGCGAAAGGAGGGAGAGAACCTCCAAAGCTCCCTGCCCCGCCTCCCTCCTCCAGCTCCCTGTCCACCCCTCCTCCTCCTTCTGCTGCCATCCTCGGTGGCGCTCTGCCTCGAGGTCGGCCTTATTGCGATACATTGCTCTCGCTGTCATGTTTCAGCTGCCTCTGCCATCATGCCGGCTGGACTCCACGCGTCTTCCCATCTGCTCCCGCTCCTCCTGCTGCTCACCTGCTCACCTGCTTCTCTTCCTCCTCCTCCTCCTCCTCCTCCTCCTCTGGCTAATCCTCTGGCTCCCCTCCTCCCCCCCTACTGCTCCTCCTCCCTCCTCCTGATCCTCCACCATTCCTCCTCTTGCTCCCCTCGTCCTAAGCCTCCTACCGTAGCAAGGGACAGAGGACACTCCTGGGAGCGACGCTGCTGCCGCCTCGAGGCTCCAAGGCTCCAACTGCACGGACTGCGGAGGACCACGAGGGGGGCTCCGACGTCTTGCGCGATCAGATGCTCGGACATCCAACAACAAGGAGGGGGTACTAAAACATGAAACTGCATAAACAGAACCTTTTGGAAGTCCGCCCAAATATCTCGGATCGGCGCTGGATGGGCCAGGGACGGCGCCGGAGGCGCCGCCAGGGGTCCAACGCAGATTCAAGAAATCCGCGTGGACCTTTGAACGCATATATCTATCCCGCTCTCCTTCCTAGATATGAACAGGCACACTTCTGAGTGCACGCCCCAGGTTTCTAGAAGCCTGCGTGCGCAACGATGCACTAGGACTCTGTGGAGATCATGTGGCGGGCACGGTTGCCCACAAGGGCCATGGACCGCTCGATTCATTCACAATGAACTGACCCCCCCCTTCTCCTCATCCCGATCGCCTGCCGCTTCCTCACACCTCCCCCCCCTCCTCCTTCGTTATCCCCCGTGCCTCCCCTCTCAACGGCGGGGATTCCTGGAACTCTTCCGTCCCGAATTCCTCTATGACAAAGTCGAGCATCTCCTATGAGGCGCGCAATGCTCTTTCCTTTACAAGACCAAGATGCCTTTTTCGCCCGGGCTCTTGCGGCATGATGGCTCGGGGAGAGGCGACGAGTGGGACGAGGCAGGCAGAGGGGCGAGGAACGAGACGGGACAATATCAACTCCTACTACGTCTATGGCGAAACCCGAACTCCCGACGGAAAAAATAAGCGCCTGCAATACAGATCAACGACCCGTGTGCAATTTCTCAAGCCGCAACGGTGAAACCGCCATGAAGAAACTGAGACGGCAGGTTAATAGTTAATCATCACTGGTGATGTCCGATACGCAACACACGTGCTTCTCATGAACTCACCTATGCACAAGCAACCTGCGCGACATTTGCAGCTTGGGGTGGGAATCCGCCGACCCTGTCGGCATGTGGAGTGGGTTACTCGTCGTATAGTTGTCCTCGTACGTACTCGTCGTCTTCTTTTCTGGGTCCGTCGCCGCCCTCCCCTCTTTCCCAGGGCCCTCGTCCTCAAGCGCGCCACCCAAAGCAAAATGAAGTAACCCAGCCAAAGCGAAATTAACGACGTTGTCATTGAGTCGAAGGGAAGCCCCTTCCCTTTGATCCCTTCCCCGCCGGGGGGGAGGGTCTCGGGGGAGGTCCCGGATCAGAATACCCTCCCCCGTTTGCGGCTTTTGCACAAGGGCCCTCTGTAGATGCGCTGAAGGAGGGGGGGTCGCCACGACGGATCCGCAAGGCCTAAGCCCCACAAGACAGCCCAAGAACGCCTAAAGACGGCCAAAGGGGGCCCCCAGACAGGTCAAAAGAGCTCCAAAAGGACTCTCAAGAAGGCCTGGGGAGGCAATACTAATGGATTTTCGTAGACAGGTTTTGTCCCCGCCCTCTCCCTCCCATTTAACGAGGGCCGAGGCCTCCAGAATTGGTTGCTCCTACTCCCTTCCTCTCGCTGCTGCTCCCCCACTCCTCCTCCTCCTCCTCCTCCTCCTCCTCCTCCTCCTCCTCCTCCTCCTCCTCCTCCTCCTCCTCCTGCCCCTCCTCCTCCTCCTCCGACTCCTCCTGCTCCTCCTCCGCCTCCTCCTCCTCCTCCGCATTCCTCTCGCTGCTCCTCCTCCTCCTCCCTCCTCCTCCTCCTCCTCCTCCTCCTCCTCCTCCTCCTCCGCATCAGCCTCCTCCTCCTCCTCCTCCTCCTCCGCATCCTCCTCCTCCTCCTCCTCCTCCTCCTCCTCCTCCTCCTCCTCCTCCTCCTCCTCCTCCTCCTCCCCTCCAGCTCACCCTCCTCCTGCTCCTCCTCTGCCGCCTCCTCCTCCTGCTCCTGCTCCTCATCCTTCCCCACCCTCTCCTTCTCCCTCATCCGCCTCTTCCACCCTTCCTCTCCCCCTCCCACTCCTCCTCCTCCTCCGCCTCCTACCTCCTCCCGCTCGTTTTCATTTTCGTCGTTTTCAGGGTCGGCGGCACCAGCCGTAAGGCCTTCGAAATCTAGGCATCATGCGTGGCTCAGAAAATCGAGCAGTCCCAAGGAAGACACAGTCCCGAGTTGAACTTGGTGGGCTCATTCACCTCCCATTTTTTGGCCCGCGGCGACGTGGGACACGAAGCGTCGAGTAGCAACACGGGCGCGCCAGAGCCAATTATGAGCCGGCGTCTCATGAGAATGCAGAAGAGCAGCCGCGGAGGGCGGCAGAGGAGGGCTCCGCGCTCAGAGCATGAAACACTTCACGCGTGGTGCAAGTGGCCTCAGGCTCCAACGCAAAATTTGCGCGAAGTGGCCAGAGATTGGCGGAGCACCCCAAAGCGTACCGGAGCCAGTAACCACAGACCAAGTGAGGGCGGGACCTGACCGCGGAGCCCCATGAGTGAAATACCCTGCTGCAGGAAGGCATCTTCCAGGGGAGGGGTATAGGAGAACAAGAAAGATGGCATGGCATGGAGGCTCTTTGGCCAACCCTCGAACACACGAGAAGCCATCTCGCGCGTCATAGCAGTAGTGTATCGGCAACCCTCAGAGTCGAGAGGCTGCCAGAATCAACCTTGGCAGCGTTTCTCACCCCCTCCTCTCTTATCTCCGTCGCTCCCCCGCTCCTCACATGGAAAAACGAACTTGTGTAGAATCAACTTGGCGAGAACTTCATATCTCCAAACGGGAACTACTGCCCCGATCGGCGTTCTGTGGAACTCTGGGCTGCGTTCAGGCTCGGGGCACGAGCTGGCAGAATGGCATCGGATACGCGCCATCACTGAGATCCCCCCCCCCCTGGGGCCTGACACCTGCGATCCTGGAGGGCCCCGCGGACCAGAGAGAACGGATCGCCTCGACCCCTCTCCCGCGTGCAACGGCTCCTCTCGCCCCCTCCGCTCGCCCCCCCCCGCTCGGAGGCACAGCGAACAACTCTGCATAAGCTTAACACGTTCGGAGGTCCGCGCGGAATCCCTGGGACGGCCCTGGGCCGCCCAAGACGGCGCCTTTGGCCCCGGCGCGCCTCGCAGCGCCAGGGAGGGGGGTCGAGCACCGATCCAAGAAATCTGCGAGGACCTCCGATTATCTATGTTCGTGTAGCACGTTCATCGCCCTGCTTCGACTGCTATACAGGGCAGGTGACAGCACGCAAACACACACAGTATGCAGACACTATATGTCCAACGCAATTTTAAATGAAGAAGAAGAAGAAAAACAAGAATGGACCGCACAACGCAACGACATAACACCTCCGCGAAGTGATCCTGAATGCCCTGCCAAACTAACATCTCTTCAGATGGTGGCCAGGCGACCACCGCGCCCGTGGAACCACGAAGATACCTAAACAGCAGAAGGACAAGACGAACAGGAAGAGAGGACAGAGAAAAGGGGAAGGCCGATGAGCCAAGAAGAGGGACAGCTTCGCAGTTCAGGGAATGGGGTCTGGGGCAGGCGGCGCTAAATCCGCCTGGCTTCAAACTACAGAGAAGAGGAGGAGGAAGAGATGAAGGATGAGGAGGAGGAGGAGGAGGAGAGGAAAAGGAGGAGTAAGATTAGGAGGAAGCGGAGCAAGGGGGGAACACAAAGTCTGGCAACGCGCTGAGACTGCAATGCGTCGCCCTCGGCCGAGAAGGACGCAGTCTGCTGAAGAAAGTCTGGGTGAAAGGATTGCCTTGCCAGGATCGCAGGCGGCCAGCAAAAGAGGACACTGCGGGCTCGTTGTCGACTCCATGGTCAAAGAGCGGTCGGCGACACCGGGGGGCCCTCCACCAGCCTCATCAGCGCGCTGGGGCCGTGTCTGGTCACCCGAAGCAAGAATGTATGCGGGGCACTATGGGCTTGGGCTCGCTCTGAACCAAGCTCTCGAATCGAAACTGGAGAGAACAGGGGGTACTGGGAGGGGCGACATGGGGAGGGGGAGCCCCCTCCCCCCCCTGAAACGACACTCTTGCACTGCCCCGGCGCCTCAGCGACACCCCTGTGTACGGCGGGTTCGTGTCATGACGACTTCCGCGTCGGCATCTGACACCACGTAGATCGTGCAGCCTTGACCGATCGCGGCCCTCTGGTCGTGGCAAGGTCGTTCGACATCGGCCGGTTCTCGGCCACTGGCGGCATACAGCCAGAAACGCCCGCGCTGGGGTCGCCGCGGCGTCGGCACCACACGAACCCGCCGTACAGTCTTCGTTTGTCCACTCCCGGCCCACTCCCGGCGCTTCGGCAGCGCCGAGGTCTCCTCGTACAGCGCGCTGAAGGGGAAGACGCCCCAGAGCTGCTCCTTCAGGCGGTTGCGCTGCGCGACGCTCCGCAGCGGCTGCGTCTTGTCCTGGCAGCGGGCAGAGGCGCTATCGGGACCGAGCGGCTCCCAACCTGCTCATTTCGAACTTCTCGCTCTCGCACAACTCGTCGATCCACTGCCCTGCCCTGCACCCCGCAGAACACCCCCCTAGACAAAGAGAAAAAACGCAATAAACCCGGATTTCTTTGATCGACGCTAGGCCTCCTCGCGCTGCCTCCGACGCCGCCTCTGGTTCGCTTCGCGCGCCAAACAACCAACCCAAGAAATATGCGCGGACCTCTGCCGATGTTTTTTTTTTATTGTGTAATATCGTATCCTCTTCGAGCCCCTCATTAGCCGGGATAAGGAAAAAGTTATGATGGGAGTGGGTCACAATGCGGTGTGGGGTCTCGGCCTTTCTACCTGGCGGGGCCTTCGGTGAAGCTCCCTATGTGGCCGCGAAACGTGTGTGAGAGGTGTGCCGCATGTGGAACCTGCCAATGGGGCCGTTGGAGGGGCCCCATCTGGGGCCACGCAACGTGACATCGCGGACCGTGCACCCGCACGTGCCCGGTCATTCGTGTTTGGCTGCGCGGGTCCAGAAGAAAACCTGGTAATATTGGAACGTCTCGCCCTGCTGACTCAATCCCCTGCCCTACAATTTTTCCCCATCTCCATATTCTCCCCCACTCGTCATCCCATTTCCGTATCGCTCCTTTATCCGTATTAATTCAGTCTCCTTCATAATCCACCTTCCATCTCTGTATCCCTTTCCCCCTCCTTTGTCCTGCTCCCCACTCCTTATCGCCCCTCCGTGTCCACCTTTATTCTGCGACTTCCATCCCAATCCTCCTCCTTTTCCTTATCCTTCTCCCCCTCCCCTATCGTCTTCTCTGCCCCCTTCATTCGCCACCGTTCCCTGGGGCGCAGCCTTGAAGGGTCCCAATGCCCGAAAGGGAGACAGACTTTCATCAGACGGTGCGCCTGGTCAACGGGTGCTAATGATACAACTGTTACCGATATGTTGGAGAAATACGTTTTGTGATGGTCCTTCATGGAAGACATGATCGTTGCCAATACCACCAAGCCGCCTGCGACCCTGGTCTATAACCAGATGCTAACATGGATGATGCACGAGCCGCGAGCGATGCCGTGGGGGGTCGGCTTTGAGACAGGCGGAGCAGCGAATGCATGTCGATTGGCGTGTTGACCAGTTGCTAGTGGGACGTGGATGTGCTTCGGCATATGTCGACAGATTCAGGTGGGGGGGGATGGAGGTGGGGAAGGCGGACGGTGGGGATGTTACGGGGGGGCAGCAGGTAGGAGGAGAGGGTCGAGTCGGGAGCCAAAGGCAGATTCGCCAACTCGTGTGGCTGGTTTTCAAGGCGTCTCTCGCTGCCAGAGGCAAACAAGAAAAAAGCGCCCAGCGGGGGGGCCGAAACCAGCTTCATGCAGAAGCGGTTGTACACTCCCTTTCGCCGACAAGAGCTGGGCGGGCTGCTAAACAATCACCCGGCATCGAATCGAGAAATCGGACCGAATCGAAATGTGTGTCGGATCGGGCCGCATCCGCACGGAGCTGGAGTCGAATCCTATCGGCTGCGCCATCGAAAGTGAGCACGCGCGGCCGCGAGCGCCCGACCGCGCCAAGATGGACATCGGGCCCCATCGGAAAGAGCGAATCCGCCGACCCTTCGGCGTGTGCGAGACGCTTTTCCGTGTCGTCGTCGTCGTGGTGGTGGTTGTCGCCGTCGTCGTCGTTGTCGTCGTCGCCGCCGCCGTCAGTGCCAAGGACATTCAAGAACAAGGGAATTGAATAACCTCGTAGCTAAGTCGCAGGGAAGCCCCTTCCATTTGTTCACTTCCCTGCAAGGGAGGTTGGTCCCGGGGAGGGTCCCGAGGGGGTTTGGCCCGGGTCAGAATACAATGCCCTCCAAGGGGTCACGGAGCCCTAAGCAGCCCCAAGGCCGGCGACGAGTGCAATTCCCTTTCTGGTCTGTGATGGATTTTGGCACTCTCGCCTTTTCGGCTTCGCGACACTCCAAGACGGCCCAAGAGGCCCCCAAGATCGCCCCCCCAAGAGGCACCCGAGAGACCCCCAGGTGGTTCCCAAGAGGCTCCCAACCTGCCCCCCCGAGGCCCCCGAGAGCGCCCCCAAAGACCCCAAGAAATACTCTGACCCATGTCAGCGTCGTCGACGTCGACGCCGCCGCCGTCGTCGTCCCACGTCAGGGTCGTTGGCACCGGCGGTAAGGCCTTCGAAACATCGAAATCGTATCGGGTCGGACGGAATAGATATCGAATCGAATCGCAGTGGACCCTGGGAGGCTTAAGAGAGGAGACTCGACAACCCCTGAGATGGAGAGACCCTGCAGTCCGCGTAACCGCGCAGCGCCTGGCACACCTCGTCGTGCCCAGCTCGGGACACCACGGCGTCTGTCTTGGCGACGAGAGAGTGCGCCATCACCTGAAACAATTCATGCAACGGTACCTTCTCCGTGTTGCTACCCCCCGCCCCTGCCCCTCGCTCCCTTGCTGTCTGCTGGTGCCTCTGTGTCCTGTGGTGCAGTCTTGCAAGCCGTTGCCGCTTTGCCCCCCCTCTCCCTCCTGCCTCGTTCCTTAGAGGGTCCCGAACCTTCCCTCCTCGGCCCCCTGTCCATCTCTTCCTCCCTTGCCCCCCCCCCCTCCCGCATGTGTCCCTTGCCTCTCGGACCGCTTGCTGCAGTCGGCGGCGCTTCCCGCCGGCCTGCTGGCTACCTTGCGAGCTGTTGCTGTGAGCGGGAGCTCTGCGCGCGGAGGGATGCGTGGACGACACAATACACTGACTCGTCCACCGCACCAACACAAGCCGCGAGAGGATTGGCCTCCTGGGCAGGAAACCGGCGCAGTCTTCTGAAACAAGCTGGGCACTGAGACGCCGAAGACCTCACGCAAACACCACGTCAAGCACAATCTCGTCTAAAAGCAGCCGGAACACCTTCGGCATCGGCCTCCACCGATGCACGTCTTCAGAAACTTCCTGGCATGAAGTAAACGGGTCCTGGGGGAACAAGGTCCTAGATTCCTAAGCTCCTACCAGGCGCGTGCAGGTCCCAGGGAGGCCAAGAGCGGCAACAAGCCTCATCATCCGAGGACACGCACCAAACACTTGGCCCCTGCCGTGGATTCGGGGCTTTGCTCTCAACGGCGGTCACCAATGCAACAGATGAGCAAAACAAACAATGCCGGCACCGATGCCGGATGCGAGCGTCACATCTGAATCTCTCGCCCAACCAGGGCACCGAAACTGGTGATGTAGAGAACAGAAGAGGGGGCCTCACAATAAGCACCCCTGCAAGAATCGGGTCGGGCGAAAGGGGGGGTTAGCAAAGGGGGGGGTTGAGAATCAGCTCACGTAGCTGATTTTCCCGGCGCCTCCCGGCGCCGGAGGCGGCCATGCATCGAGGAATAGGCCCCTCGGTGAGGCCGAAACCAGCTGCATGCAGCAAATTTCGTAACCCCCCCTTTCCCAATCCCCCCCTTTCGCCCGGCCCGAAAGAAAGGCTTTAAAATAAGTGCACCTTAGAGATACAAAGAACAATGGAAGACTGTTTTCCATACGTCCTGGGCCGTCGAATAAACGCGACGTGTTTGGTTCCGTGTGTTCTACTCTCTTGATGACGCACTCCTGCGCTCGCGCTTCAGGCCCCTTGTTCGTGTCCGTCCCCTTCCCATTGCCCTGGCGGGCGCCCTTCGGCATCGCCTTCGCCTTCGGAGTCGAGGCGCCCTCCTTGGGACGGCCAAAGATATTGCGTGCATTCTGAAGCGTGGCGGTGAATGATGTCGCTTTGCCGCTGTGGTACCTTCGAAAAAACAGGAACGAACGAACGAGTCTGCCGTCGCTGCGAGGTGGCACTGCAAGGGTGGCAGGCGCCCCGGACGCGCTGGCCTCCGGAAAAGCCGGTGCGCAGAATTGGTGTGAAACGTCCGAGAAAAGTCAGAAGAGTGATACACATGTGAAGTTCGCGCCACATATGTTTAACGTGCTCATCCTCAAAATCCGGCCATTCTTTAAATATGTTTGCCATTTCGCTTCGCGATGCCCAACTGGTTTCTCTGCCACCAAAAAGAAACATGGCGAAGGACCCAACCATATGCAGCTGTGAGTGCCGTTCCTGTATGCACCGCCTTCAGAGGAGCTCCCTCTAGGGCCACGACACGTGTGAGGAGTTTGCCGAAACACGCGCGGTGGGCGCATGCGAACGCAGCCGTTAAGGCCGTCGGTGGATATCGTTATGGTTCCAACGTGTGATGGGCGTGCCGAAATGGGTGCGGGCGGCGCATGCGAGCGCAGCCACTGGCGCCTTCGGTGGAGTTCCCTGTGGGGCCACGAAACGTGTGAGGGGCGTGCCGACATGGGCGTGCGTGGCGCATGCGGACGTTGGCACTGGGGCCTTCGGTGGAGCTCCTTGGGGCCACGAAGCGTGGGAGTTGTGCCGACTTGGGTGTGCGGGACGCATGCGGGCGGTGGCGCTTGGGCCTTCGGTGGAGCTCCCTATGGAGACACGACATGGTTGAGGGTTGTGCCGAATTGGATGTGCGTGACGCATGCGGGCGGTGGCGCTGGGGCCTTCGGTGGAGTTCCCTGTGGGGCCACGGAATGGGCGTGCGTGACGCATGAAGGCGGTGGCACTGGGGCCTTCGGTGGAATTCCCGATGGGGCCACGAAGCGTGTGAGGAGAGCCGACTTGGGTGTGCGTGACGCATGCGGGCGGTGGCACTGGGGCCTTCGGTGGAGCTCCTTGTGGGGCCACGAAACGTGTGAGGGGTGTGCCGACTTGGGCGTGCGTGACGCATGCGGGCGGTGGCACTGGGGCCTTCGGTGGAGCTCCCCATGGGGCCACGGAGCGTGTAAGGGGTGTGCCGAATTGGGCGTACGTGACGCATGTGGGCGGTGCAGGGAGGAGGGGAGGAGGGGAGGAGGAAAAGATGGAGGGAGGGAACGCGGGGACCGTCTCTTCAAAACGAAGATCCAACACCACGGGATGGTTGGAAACACTGTCTTCCCGACGGACGAACCGTCCTGGCCGAGACCGCGACGAGTGCCCCGCGAGCGGTTTGACCACCAATCATAATTACGCCACTTCGTGGTATGAATTGCCCACCCTTCCGGCGACGTGTTTGCAATCTTCCTGGCCCAGATCCACTTGCTCCGTAGAAACGACTCCATCCAATATGATACGCCTGCCTCCCGGTCTGCTGCCCGCGTCGCCCTTTGTATCCAAGATCTGCGTTCCTCCCCTGGATTTCTCCCTGGCCCCACACTTCGCCTCAACATTGGTCTTCGAACGCTTCCAGCCTTCTTTGCTGGGCAACTGTCGGCTTCCATGCTTCCGAGCACCACAATATCGCTTCTGATACTGTGGCCAAGCAGCGTCACTCGCTTCGTGATTAAATGTGCCATTTGTGGTGACCCAGGTAGCCTGGAAAATCCCGCCCAACCTGCCTGCAACCGAACTTCAAATACCGTCGTCGTATTGCCATCCATTGCGGTCACTGCCCCCCGAAAAATCGAATCCTGGAGCGCAGCTTGCAAAGGGGTCTTCTTCCCCTTTGAAATCTTGACCTCGAACAGCGCTCCTCCCCGCGCGCTGCACGCTGCCCTTCTTTGCGTTCAAATGCCAAACACGTTTGGCCAACTCCGCCTTGATATTCCGCATCACCACAGACAATGCTTGCTTGGATTTCGCCAAGAGATTAGCGTCAGTTGCAAACATGATGTAGGTAATGCTGTTTTTTTCCCTGGCAGCTGCTCCCAACAGCGCGCGCAAACCATTTCGCTTCAGATGTTGTTTCCAGCTCTATCCTGGCATTGCGCGCTGCGTTTGTGAAGAAAGCTGGCGACATTGCAGGCCTTGTCTGGCGCCGCACACGATGGGAAAGTGCCGGCCGCGGGCGGTCTGGCCCGCTCGAACGTAAGCTTGCCGCTGATGACACATAGCTTAGGTACATATGAGATCGGTTCCTCTCGGAGAAGGAAGCGGACCGAAACCTTCTCCAGCTGCCGCGCCTGCGACACGCCCCTTGCGCCCCACCGACAACTCTCGGGGCGCTGTCCGTGGAACCTCGCCGCAGAGCGGCAGCGGCGGTAAACCCTGATGGGGTGACAAATCAATCACCTCGACCTGCCACCCCCCGCCCCGCCCCCCAACACTGGCGGTCGCCGCGCGCCTCGCCGCCAGGCGTGGCGACCGATGCGAACGACAACGCGATGAGGGGCGGCGGCTGCGGCGGGCCCGAAACACAGGGCGCCAGCATCTTCCCGTAACCCGACAAGTAGGGCACGTAGCGAACGCATTCATCAACGCCTCGCACGCGCTCGCCCCAACGTCGAGCAGCTCTTCGATAGCGGCCACTGTCGCTGATGCGATTCACCCGCCGGGACCGGCACGATATACTGCGAAGATCACGCTGTAGATTGGGCCGCGGAAGTGCCAAAGCAACCTGTGAAAACCATCCAAAGCATTGTGCGGAATGTGCCCAGTGAAAAATGCAATGGGATACGTGCGAGGGAACCGGTAACAAAACAAGAGAGCCTCCGGGTACCAGGACACCGTGGGCGCCTGCTTGCCAATCGAAAGCGCTGAGAAGCGCTTTGGCAGTGAAGCGCGCAGATCGTTATCGGAGTGGCGTCGCAATAACCAGGCCATCGCCACATCCAACCAACATTCAACATACGGCGAACCGCGGTGCCCACACCATGTCTTCTTCAGGAACAAATCTTCCCCGTCATTTTCATACTTAGCGCCGCGGCCAATCCCACCAGCCCTCTGGGCGTCGGTGGTTTAGAGCGTTTCCTCTTCCACCCCTCCTTCTTCCCCTTCGGGGAGGGGTTTACCCCTCCGCCTACCCCCTCCCCACTGACCTGGACAGGGGGTTCCGCGGCGCGTTGGAGCGCCCAAGATCGACCCCTGGGAGGGCTAAAATTCGACACCCCTCACGAGGATCGTGGCTCCTGAGGGGGGGACTGTAATTAGGGACCCCCCCTTCGTTGATCGATCTCCTCCAAGATGGCTCCGAGGCCCCCCAAGAGGCCCCCAGGAGGCCCCCAAGAGACCCCCAAGAGGCCCCAAGAGACCCCCCAGAGGCACCCAAGAAGCGCCCAGGAGGCCCCAAGAAGCGCCCAGGAGGCCCCCAAAGGCCCCAAGATGGCCCCAAGAGGCCCCAAGAGGCCCCCAGGAGGCCCCAAAGAGGATCCCGAACGGCCCACAGAGGCCCCCCCGAGGCACCCAAGACGCCGAAAAGCCCCTCAGGACGACCCTCTACTCGCCTGGGCGTCGTTTCTGGACGGGCTGGTGGGGATACGCGAAGCGTCTAGGATTGAAAACAGCCCTCCGACTGATGTGGGCGGGCTTCACAAAGCGATCGTACAATGTGAATGATCAAGCCCACGACTATGACAATTCCGAATGGCGACACGCGTTTGTC